TATTGGTAAATGCATATTATTATAGAATAGTAAAATAATATCTTCTATTTCTCTCCATTTAACGACCACTCTTTATAACGCCGAAAAATGTTCAGTCCCTTAAGTGTCGTTATATAGAGTTTACACTGTATGTGAAAAGCATCTACCCTGCATCTAATTGTAAAAGCGCCACTTTTTCGTAGCCAATACAGCAAAAGGTGAGTGTCATATGGTCAAACCCTAGTAACAGTTCACTTTATTTAAGGACGAAGGCCGTTATTATAGTCCAAGCTCGTATGACACAAAAATGTACGTTGTAGAATAGGTATTTACGATTGCAAAAGTTGAAATCGTGATAATCATAGAAAAACATACCAAAAAGCAGTCTGGTGGACTATAGATTTCGTCTTTGTACTATAAACAAATCCAAAATAGGAAGGGCAGCAAATTTAGACTTTGCTCCGGGTGGCAGAAATTCACGCTACGGCTCTGGGATCTTGCTCTATTGGAGCTTTAGGCCAAAAGAATTTCTTTGTTTTATTAAATTGATCACATATTGTGGTTTTACTAGAACAAATACCCTAGTATTTCCTTGAACTTGCTCCTTGTAAATGTTTCTAGTAACTAGTACTTAATGTCAATTCTTCTATTACTTCCTAATTTGTAATCTTTTCTATTTTGGGTATTATAGGTATTTTCACCAACCGTTTAAATACCATTTCCATTATTTTTGGTTTCAGAAAGTCAATAGAAGAAAGCGAAAAAGTTGAAGTAAATAATGCAAGTTGTGAAACTTCGAGTAACAAATTAAAGTAAAAAAATACAATGTAGAGTATATGAATAAAATTAAACTTCTATGTCTTGTTGTGTTTCAGAAATGATTCAAATTCCAACAACTCAAAGGCAGGGATTCGGTGAGTACCTACCAATTATTTCATTTTTAGTGAGTTCTTTGAAATTTTTTATTTTACAAGTAAATAAAGGCTTTCTTGATAACTATAAAGGTTTTGTTTGCTTCAGGAGATTGTCGAAGTCCCGAACTTTATCGGACGTGGAGACACGGTAAAAAATATTTATTTTAATATTTAGGATCGATTTTATTTTGCATTTAATTTCAGGAAAAATTCACACAGACGCCAAAGCAGTTCTAGTTCCATGAAAAATTCGTCGTAAGTCATTAATACGTACTTTATTGTATGCATTTGTAAATTAATTTGACTATTTTATATTTTTGAAAACGAGAAAATGTATACGGAATGAGACAAGAAGTGTCTTTGTTTATCGAGGAAAAATTAATATTGTTCGCATTTTTTTTAACATTGTAATTCTAAAACTTAAACATTGCCAGCGAGGAAATTTAAAAATGATTTAAATAATTCAAATTATGGTCAATAATTATCCTATTTGTCGATTTAGTTCCCAACCTAAATAAATAAAATAAAGGAAAATTCCAAAAGGTTAAAATAATAATAAAAATATGTAAATACTAAAAAAAAATTCCGATGACCAGGTATGTGGTAATTAATTAATTAATACGCACGTTTTATCGTAATGTGTATCCTGCAACACTGACCTTGTTCTCTGTCGCTGTTTTATTACTTTTTTTCGTATATTTGTTTCCGTGTTATTTAAACTGGTCATTTGGTTTCGGAAACGATGAGTTCATTTTGACTCGGAACTGGACAGAATCATATCGCTCGCTTACTTTACGATGAGGTAGAAGTGGAAACATCTGCTTTCTTTCCGTATACTTAAAAGAATCAAAAAGTATCCACTAGTTTTTGCGTTATACACGTCTGATTGATGAACCTATCTATTATTATTTTCATTATATCGATTCGCTAACACTTATTGTTGGTGAGCTAATTTATTTTATTTTATTTTTTTTTTTCAGGAAAGCTCAGCAAGAAACCGTTGCACTAAATCCATGTTTGTGTAATCAAAAGTAAGTGAAACTTTATTCTGTTATTAATACGCAACATTTTAAATTATTAATATTT